TGGTGATGGCAGTGATGACGATAGTATCCACATCAACCAAACAGTAGATCCTGAATACTATTCTTCAAGAGCTTGGGAATCCTACATTGACCAAGAATTAGACACCTTTACAGTTTTGCAACCACAAATTAATGTCAGTGCAAGCTCCCAGCAAACATCCCAGTCTGTGCATCATCATCATAATATTCAGATTGCTAAATCATCGCTTGGTACCTCCAAATTCTGGTTTTTACCACCACAGCTGTCTCAAGCAACTYTGTTTGGAAGGAATGGTTCTAATGCCTGTACTTTCATCTCCTTGTTAATGGCAAAGGAATACACTAGCTCACTACATTATGCTACTCTCCAATTGACTTGTAATTCCGATCTGAATCAAACATGGTTATCATTGTTGTTGTCTGCCATTGCTCGAGGGAACCAGGTATATGACAATGTAACGCAATCCCTAGGCAATCCATTCTTCAGTGTAGCTGAAGCAAATCACCATCTAACAGCTGTAATTGCCCCTGTCACTGTGACATTGGAGGAATCCTTGGATCTTTCTATTACTTCTGTGGATCCTCAAGTATCTCAGAGTTCCCTTGCTTTCTATCTACAACGGCTAGTTAGAGAACGAAACTTGGCAGCGTTGATCATAGCGAACGGGATGACCGTGTGTTTCGTTGGTCAAAACAACAACGTGTATTTTTTGGACAGTCATCCACACTATTATGGGCAAGTATTTGGAGCCATGGTTGGAATGGCACAAGTGGATAAACTCGAAGAATTCCTCATCAACATCAAGCAGCAAATTTGTCCCAACTTTAACGTTTGCTCTTTGACTTTCGCTTCCTTTGTCTAATGGTATGGACCAGAGAACACTGTTTACGAAGGTTTACGAACATCATCGAGTTCGAAAAATACTTTCAGAACGGTAAATCTAATGATCAAACAAATAAAACTCTCACACAGAGTTAGGTTCAATCCATTTAATTGAATTCGATAAAAAATTAACACGGTGTGAGTTTTTCTTGGCCATTCTTTCAACGATCGAATCCTATTCGAAGCGCGCCGTCCGCCATTTTGAAATATATAAACTCGCGCATGCGCAGACGTTTTGCAGAGGTGTCCGATTAGCGTAATCAACAAAGGCACGTCACGCGATCAAACAGTCATGCGATGGATGCGGAAAGTTTTCTGGCTCTCGGCTACGCACAATTTTCGAATAACTGCCCGTTACATATCAACAACTTCAAACACCATGGCCGACGCAATATCACGCATACACGTGCCTTCTCAGTGCGAACTGTTCACTAAACGTTTATTATTACTGCAACAACAATCAAAAGCACCAAGTAAACCACATTTCTCGCGTAATGCATTTGCCTCTCTACCCCCGCAGGTCCAATTCATGCTCAGGAGCAGCAACTTGACCTCGAATTAAGAAAGTTCCGTGGCCATGCGTTCGCTCAATCAACCGCRGCGACCTACAAGTCACAACTACGATGCTACATCCGTTTCTGCGTGTACTTTGGTTACGCGCCTGTTCCATGTAAGGCCCTTCACTTGCTTCGCTACATTGTATTTCTTACCAGAACTTTATCACCAACTAGTATTCCGTGTTATCTCAATGTGATAAGAATACTGCATCTACAATACGGTTTCCCTAACCCATTACAAGAACCGCTATTTAAGTATCAAAAAGAATTGTTAATGCGAGGTATAAAGCGTCTTAACAATAACCCCGCCCAGCAAAAGCTGCCCATCACGCCGACTATTTTAAAACAACTCTATGGCCATCTGGACATAGGCAACTCATTGGATGCGACTTTCTGGGCGGCATGCCTTGTCGCCTTCTTTTCATTTTTTCGAAAGTCTAACCTGCTGATTCCTTCTGGGAACGCCTTCGATCCACAATAACATTTACGGGCTGGTGATATCCGAATATATGAATGGGGCTTGATGCTGATTGTACGTTGGTCTAAAACCATTCAATATCGAAAGAGAATCCTACTTGTGCCCGTTCCAAGAATCGATGGCTCAACACTATGTCCGCGTGCTGCGATTATTAACACTTTCGAACTAGCTGGTATCAGAGACAGTGTTTCACTACAAAACAATATACCTGCTTTCATTTACAAACAAAATGGCCAACTCAAACCACTAACTTACGCAACATTTACTCAAAGGCTTAAGACAATTATCGCTCATTGCGGACTCGATAGGCAGTTATACTCAGGACACTCCTTCCGTAGAGGAGGGGCAACCTTTGCATTACAATGTGGTGTCCCTGTGCATTACATAAAACTCCAGGGAGATTGGCTCTCAAACGCATATGAACGGTATTTAGATAGCTCTTTAAAATACAAGCTACAAGTAGCAAACATGATGGGCACAGCTATTACTCACTAACTACGCATACTCATTGGGGGGTCTTGGGATTGGGGGATATTGCAATTGGTCTCGYMCAATAAATGACCCRAGTAACCCCAACGAGTGTTGTGTATTTAGTGAGTGATAGACATGTGTTTATCATGATTAAATAACTAGGCGAGGCAGGATGTGCGGTGAGCATAGAAAGCAAGGTCTTCATAGTTGGCAGCCAGTTGTTCATGTTGTCAGCAAGCTAGCGTTCAAGAAATCAGCTTAGAACTTTTTTTTAATTTTTATTACTCTCTGTAACCCCCCGGGGGATATTGCAATTGGTCTCGCACAATAAATGACCCAAGTAACCCCAATAAGTGTTGTGTATTTAATAGATAGATAGATAAATAAATAAATAGATAAATAAATAAATAGATAAATAAATTTATTCATTCATTTATTTATTTATTTATTGTTGTTTTTTTATGTCCCTCTGTCCGCCTGCTGTTCGTTTGTTCTTTGCTAGATGTTTTTTAAATTTTCATCACACATATTCTCCTTTTTCTCTTAAAAATCTTACATTTTAGGCATTTTACAGAGAACCACAATTGCTTCAACCGTGTAGATAAATTACTAAACAAAGAAGGTAAAGGATTTTTGGGGCTTTTTTATTAATCATGGTGAATGAGACCAAAACCTGTTGATGTTTTTTAAATTTTCATCACACAAATTCTCCTTTTTCTCTTAAAAATCTTAAGTTAATTACATAAGTTAGCAATTGTATTATAACCCATTACGATTTCAGCATTTTAACCTACCCATCATCATCAGTATGATCGACACAGTTAACGTACAGTTTCATGTTATCAGTAGACGTCTCCTCATAAATGTGCCACATCACAAAAAATATATAGTAAAGGGCTAAGAAAACGTCGAGTTTTCCAACCAAAATTAGTTCGCAAATAAGCCCCTATCTAGGAGTATAAAAGTCGCATTTGATGATGAAGATTTTTCTTTGTATGTAGATCCCTGAATTTTGAATTATTTCCCAAGTGAATTCGGATTCAAGCATTCTCTCCCGGGGGGGTACTACCTCCCGAACTTGGGTAGGGTTAAAATTTTGATTTTACAGACCCTGACCCAGACTAAAAGTAAGAATTGTACACCCTATCCCAGACTAAAAGACGGAAAACACGGTTATTCAATAGATTTCAATCAATATTTACTAACGTTTTTATTGTTTTTGTGCCGGCAGAAAGCGTAGCCTATTCGCCAGACAAAAACGACCAAATCGTTAACCCTATCCCAGACTAAAACGACCAAATCGTAACCCTATCCCAGACAAAATGTCAAAAATCGATACCCTACGCCAGACCCAAAAGCCGAAAAGCCAT